GTATAGATAGACACGTTGTTGCGAAACTGTGTATAGATACACACGTTGTTGCGAAACTGTGTATAGATACACACGTTGTTGCGAAACTGTGTATAGATAGACACGTTGTTGTGAAACTGTGTATAGATACACACGTTGTTGTGAAACTGTGTATAGATACACACGTTGTTGTGAAACTGTGTATAGATACACACGTTGTTGTGAAACTGTGTATAGATAGACACGTTGTTGTGAAACTGTGTATAGATAGACACGTTGTTGCGAAACTGTGTATAGATACACACGTTGTTGCGAAACTGTGTATAGATACACGTTGTTGCGAAACTGTGTATAGATAGACACGTTGTTGCGAAACTGTGTATAGATAGACACGTTGTTGCGAAACTGTGTATAGATACACACGTTGTTGCGAAACTGTGTATAGACTAATTTGACCATGAGAAAGACAATGTACACAAACATTGTATGGTATAATGACATTGTTACACTGTATGGTATCAAAAGGGATAAAAGCCATCATATAAAATCATATTCAAGCAGTTTTGAATAAGCCACTGCATGTATACATTGTCTTCCATTTGATTAACTTGGTCTATATGTCGAATTTCACAACCTTGTGTCATTTTGATTCCTGAACACTGTTGTTTGAACAGTAGAAAAACAAACACACACACAATAATTATCAATAATGAATTAAAGAAAAGCTAATTATGTGTTGCTAAAAAATCTTAATTGCATTATTTCAATTAAGTCTTAACTAATTTTTATTTATATCAAAACCCATGCATTTATTTTCTGATCCTCAATAAATTAAAGTATATAAAGAGGTTTAGTAAAATATTTTCTGTTCTTCAGCCAAACATAAGCAAACATCTAATGGGTCATAAACGTCTGAATAGATTTTATTAGTTTAATTATTGGAAAGTGAAAATATGCACTGTGTAAAATGTTTTCATAACATCTAACCATCTATACAACACCAACATGACTTCCCAAAACAGAAGGCTGTTGATTATTGTAGCATTGTGAATATTTCATCAATCAACAATTTGAATTCTACAATTTCTCCTTTAAGTACATGTTATGAAATACTTTTCATCATCAGCAGTGCCAGACAACATGGTGTTATTAAGTATTGAATGACATTTATCGTAGACTTTTAAGTTTTTTGAGCAATTATGGCATTATGCTTATTGTTATCTTTAAAAAAAAATTCAAAATTCATGAAAATGTTCAACCGTTTAGGTCTAGATGGAAGCACTAATGGTTTGGATCGTGAGAAACTAATCAATGATTTCAACAATAATCCTTCTGTGAATCTGTTTCTTCTGTCAACGAGAGCTGGGTGTTTAGGAATTAATCTTATTGGAGCTAATCGGATTGTTGTGTGCGATGCATCCTGGAATCCTTGTCACGATGCTCAGGTTTGTAATGTTGTATGTTTTTTATTGCATGTTAAAAAGGTGTCAAAGATATTGGTGCCATTAAAAATTAGATATAGTGGTATGTGATTGTGTTATATTTTGATAACACTTAGTTAAAAAACAGCCTTATTTTTCAGTAATATTCATCACCACCTGGCAATACTTACACAGTACTAAACTCTATTATGCCCTAAACATTATTGACAACTAAGTGTTTCATTCACATACTTCTTAAAGTCAGCTGAAATAATTATTTAGTCTTCACCTACTAAAAGAAGCATTTTATTTTTTTGTAACAAATAGTTATAATGAAAATCAGATAATTACCAAGTTACAAATAGTATTTATTTAAATATTAATATGCAGTCAGTGGCAGTACCACAGATCAACTAAGTTTATGTAAGAACAAAGGAATCAGAGACTCGTAATGATGAAATAAAATAAATTTATTGATTCTGTTACATAAAAGATTACTTAAATAACTTTTCATGTTTTAGCTTTATGATAGTTTATCTAGTGCTTTATACACTTCAAAATATTAAACTTCCACAAACGTTAATAAACTTACTCATCTGTTATGATTTTATCAGGACTGACTGACTGCCTAGTTCGTCTCTCTAAGACTGACTGAACTGGCATTAATTTTAGTTTAGCTTTTTTATTCTATATGAAGCGTATGAATTTGAAGTGAATGGAACTGATTAGTTAATCACATTTTTTTTTATAATGAGGACAGGACTATTTCTTCTAGAGGGTGTAGGAATTTTCTAAAACAGTTTTAATCAGTTATGTCATTTACTGCCATTTCCACTGAAAATAGCCCATGTAAACAGCACTTTATCCATGACCTCATTAGTTTGTATGCTGACCTCAGGTCAAATACCTTATGTCTTTCCATAAAACGATTATTTTTTTTTATTACTTGTAATTGACTAAATGTTTACTTTCCATAACTCAGAATTGCTACACGATATAGTATAGTTGGAATTGGTGAAACATTATCCAGCTTGTCCAAAATGTTTACGTATTTTGATGCCACTTCATGAAGGTTTTTGTATGTCTTTCTGGCATCATACTGATGCAAAGTTTAATTTTCTAGTGATATATATATATTTTTTTTCAGCTTGGATAAGTTACGTGTGTCCTCAGCATATCATACACTTGACCTTTATTCATATACACTCATGTATGTTTCTTTAATGGTTTTTTTTTATAATATCTATTCTGGATATGTTCCATACTCCACTTCTTTCATTTGATGTATAACTTTAGTATGTATTCAATGTAAATATTCCAGCCAGTCTTTTCTAATACATATAATTAAGATCATTTCATTCCTTCCACACAATCAAGCTCGTTTTATTTATGTTAGTTCAAAAATGATCGGTATTCAGCAGTATAAGCAATTACATTTTAAATATGTAAACAATATTTGTGTTAACCATACTAACTTAAATTATGTTACTCTTTCACTGTGGCAATATACGTAGAATCCATTGAATACATCTTTATGGTTATTAAGTAATGGTAAAAATATTGAATATATAAGTTACTGAAGAAAGCTGATGCATTAGAGCATGTAAGAGTAGGTTCAAGTACAGGGTCTTTCTTGTAATAATCTTTTATTTGTGATTAGAGGCAGTTTATGGTTATTAAGTAATGGTAAAAATATTGAATATATAAGTTACTGAAGAAAGCTGATGCATTAGAGCATGTAAGAGTAGGTTCAAGTACAGGTCTTTCTTGTAATAATCTTTTATTTGTGATTACAGGCAGTTTGTCGAATATACCGCTATGGGCAGTCTAAACCTTGCCACATCTACCGGCTTGTTACTGATAATAGCTTGGAAAACAAAATATATGAACGACAGGTTAATAAGCAGGGAATGTCAGGTAAACTACTACTGTGTTATTTTGATTTGAACCAGATGTAAAATGAAGCCTTTTTAGATGGATACTTAGATCATACATGTTATCATTGCAGAGCTAAGTCTATCATAAATGTATTCTATTTATAAATCGGCTATTATTTTAAAAAAATGTAATGGTTGTAATATTTACATACATGTGTATGTTATTTAACCACACGGTTTTATTTCAGATTTTATATTAATATTTTCAGTTGCCAAGCATTTAGATATATATGCACTACAGGCACTTGTGTTTAAAAATTTTTTAGATTATAATAAATAATTAGAAACGATGTTTTATATTTACACAATAAAAACTTTATTGAAGCCGTACGGCTTCCACTTTAAAATATCTCTCTACAAGTACATGTTTCGACGTGATGTACGTCTTCCTCAAGATATATATATAGAATGTAATTATCTACTGTTAAACTTAAATTAGGACAAAGCAAGAGCACTAATACATATAAAAAAATTAGATAAACACAAGATTATTCCTCTGTAAGGAACATTTTGAAAATGTTATGTTGTTTACTAAGTAACTTTTATAACCTATCGATTTCTTATGTTTAAGCCTTATAGAAATTTTGTATAATGTCATATATTCACAAAAACTGTGTTTATGGTACATTTAAAAAATTTAGTGAAAACTAAACAAAGCTGTTGCTTATAAAGTGATAAGTTCACAAGTGTTATAACTTTGTATCTGAAAAATCAAGCAGGAAATTAATATGTTTGTTATCGCACTTGTGTAAGTTTTTATAGTGAATATTTAGAGAGAAAAAAGTCTTATCCCAGGCAACAGTAATAAAGGTAAATGGTGGTGAGCAATGCATTGTTTTGTTTTAGTATTTTTATTGTAAATTGTATTCATTCATTTTTGTTTGAATGATTGGTTCACCATAGTTTTAGTTTTAATAAATCATAGTTTAGTCTACATTGTTATGCCTATCTCACTATTGAGAAACATGATTGTCAACTTTACTCACATTGTTAATTAATTAACATGTTAATATTTAAAATTTTTGATTCTTTTGAGAGTTTCACAACGACATATACATCTTTGTTTTGATATCTTGTTTTTATTATTGGTATCCTTGAGTTTTAGTTATTTTTTTTTCAGATCGTGTCGTGGATGAATTAAACCCAAGTACTAACTTCACTTGGAGTCAAGTTACTAACCTTGTTAACTATCAGGAAGAAGAAAATCCCGTTCCAGACTCTCTGACTCTGCAGCGAAAGCAACAGACCCAGTGCTTCGTTATTTATGTCAGAATATGAACTACTGCCTTAGTAAAGTAAATACGAAGTTTTGAAAGTATTACCATAGCACTTGATAAACTATTGTTTCTTTTTCAAACTGTGGAAGAGCTAACTAGCATTACTAGAGGGACTTAGACATTTTGTTGATAACGATAGAGAGAGAAGAAAATGACCTTTACCCTTCATTTAATAACAAAAAAAACATTGGGTAAAATAGTTTTGTTTTTTTCTGGAAGGTAAAGCTCATTTTTCTTTCTCTAACATTATTGTCTGAAGCTTGATTACATAAAGTTCATAACAGTGATTTGATATTTTTAATGAAACTGACTTGAAATGTCTTTGAAACCAGAAGCAAGTATGGTATATGTCAATATGTTAGTTTATAAACAACATGAAGAGGTTCTTAGCTGCTCCTACTCTGAGAGTGTTTGAAAGCATACTTGTAATTGTAAACAATTTTAATGGTTTGTAAAGATATGAAATAGCTCCTTGACTAAAAATCCAAAATTGGTGCTAGCAAAATTCTAGCACTGAAACAGATTGAACACACTTAAAAAAAATGTTTGTAATTTCACTTTTAAACTTTTTTTTTCTGATTATCATAAACTCAAATAATTCTCTTTTTTATCTAAAGTAATTAAGAACAGATAATACGTAAGAAGTTGTTTTGTTTATTATATCAGTAAATGATGATTGAAAAACATTTTTGACTTTAAAATGTACCTGAATTTTGTTGAGACTTGTTAGTTTTTTAGTTAGAATGTAATCTTGTATTTATTTATTTTTTGTTGTTGTTACTGTCGTGATGGCTTTAATAATGCATTTTGTTTTTGTATAATGAATATTTTTTATAGAAGTATATTGAGTTTTTCATTTTCCTGAGAATTTTTTGACATGTGTGTATATACATTACCATGTCAAGCATTTTCTTTGATTCATGAACAGGAACCCTTTGAGCATGAATCTTTGTTGATTGACCGAAAAGAGCTCAAGCTTACCAAATTTGAAAAACGTATTGCCAAACAAACTTATGAACTGGAAAAGAGAGCCAGTATGTGTGGAAGTGGTTTTATGAAACCAGTTTATTTTAACAATGGCCAGTTTCCTGTAAACCCTCTAGGAAGGTAACATTTTATAATGTCAAGATAATTTTCTTTTTAAAATACCATAGACAATTCTCGAGAGTTAAAAACAGTTAAAGATAAAAATACAAGTTAATTACATGTCCTGGAAGCAATATTACAGAGGTTGAGTATGGTATATTAAAACAATTTTGGAGTTAGAGTTCATGTTGCAAGTCCAGTCATGCTCTGTTTGATCACTATATATCTTGTCAATAGCCCTGCAGCATAGTTTCCATTGCAAAAGTCCGCCAAGGCTCAGTGATAAATCTCAGGTTTTATAATATAAAAATCAGATTTTGATCCAACATTAGACAGAACACAGATTGTGTAACTTTGTGCTTAACAACAAATAAACCATTACGAAAGACTGTTTCATAAGACTTTCATATACACATCTCCTCCTTAAATGATTCCTCAATCTAACTAGTGTACAAGGATGACGATTTCCAAATGCATGTTTCAACATTCTACTCACACAGAAATATGTAAATTCTGCATCTGGTGATTTGACTGGTGTGTCTTTATATGGAGTAACATGAAAACCCACTTCATTCTCCAGCTACTTGAGATAAGCAGTGGTTGAACAAGAAGTATGTCTGGAAACCTTATCTTGGTGAACCATTGGCCTGTTGGCCTCATTTCAAGACAGAGATCCTTCCTAATTGCTGTATTTGCCTGAATATAATGCACATCCAATTTTGAAAGGGTAAATTGAATAAAATTTGTTTTGTTTTTTAACACATCAGTCATAAAAAATGTATTAAACATTTTTGGAGATATTTCATTGAAATTTGTTTGTGTCAACTTTATAAACTTTATTGTAAAGTTTATATGTGGTAGTACACTAAGCTAATTATTCATCTTTACATAAATCTTCATCATTGCTAGAATTGTCATTACCATTCATTGGATTTGCTTCCTTGAACCTTTGTGCAGTAAATTTTTCAGGTGGTATTTGGAGGAAAGAAAATGAGTATTATATTCAGAGAAATGTGGTATATTGTATACTGTTTTCTGGAGCACATGGAGGTATTTTTACACTGACTTTTGTTTATGGATTTTCACCTGTTACCAGACACCATGCACTGCTTGCCATGGCTGAGGTACAACTTGTTTAAGGTCTATTTCTGAATGGTCTTGGTGCCTCAAGTTAATCCATATACTTAAAGGACTGTTACATATCCTTCCCAAAAGCAATCAGTTTTCTGTGGCATCACACAACCTATGGAATGTCCAAATGTAGTTTTGATACACATAATTTCACTTTGACTTTATATCAGCTGGGAAGTATCATGTGGCTTACTGATTTACATAATCAAAATCATTTTTATATAATGTACTCAACCCTCTGTAGTGCACAGAATTAGTAAAAATTTGAATGATCTGAAGTATATAATTTTTTAGTTAATCACACTTCATAAGAAAAATTTGCTAATGCAATGCCACAGTTGTGAAATGTGATACCATGAATTACATGTTTAACTCATTCTATGCAGGCATCATTTTCTGAGCATGTCACAAGGTTTTACTGAGTTACTTTCTAAATTTAACTAAAGTACTTTATTATTATGGTATATATGAATAAACTTGGCAATAAAACATAGCTAATTATCCATATTTTAGTATTATATAAAGTCTTATCTTAAGGAAGCAGCTTATCATGGAATTCACTGAGATAATTTATAAATTATAAGCATAATGTATCTCAAATGCATGATTTGTAGTCTTTCATGTAAATACTATTGAAAAATTTGATGCAAGAAATTTTCATTTTTTTTTTTTGACTGATTGTTTTGTTAGACCTCCACTTCATGGACCACCTCGTGGTTATCCTGGTAGCTGGTATGCTCGATCCCAGCCATCTACTTCAGTCCCTGTGCAGCCTATGAGTAACATGGTGGGAGGCCGTCAAGTTTCACCATATGTGCCCCTCATCCAGTTTCTTATGAAGCAAGGTGTTAATGTTCAGAGGGTGACAGTTCCAACTAGTGAGTTGATCTTAATTTGTTTAAGTATAATTGAATATATATTTTCCTTTGCTCGTATTACTTTCGGGGGTTCGAATCCCCATCACCGAACATGCTTGCCCTTTCAGCCTCGGGGGGGCATTACATTGTGATGATCAATCCCACTATTCATTGGTAAAAGAGTAGCCCAAGAGTTGGCAGTGGCTGGTGTTGATTAGTTGCCTTCCCTCTAGTATATCATTGCTAAATTAGAGATGGTTAGAACAGAAAGCCCTCGTGTTACTTATAATTCAACAAAATTGCATTGTGATGTCTAAATATTGTTTAAATAGGATAGAATTAACTCAAATGTTTATTTAAGGAATAGCATTGTTTTTAACTTTTTTGTCAATTTGTTTTCCCAATAAAATTCATAGCAAAAATAAATGACTAAAGGTAAGTTTCAGGATGTAGATAATACCTTTTTTGGTTAGCCATAGATGGAAATTAAAGTGACCATCTAGTGGTTTCTTCTCTCTTTCTCTTGTTTGTATGTGAATTTGAGATCTGCTGTATTAATGAAATACCTTCTAATTTTAAATGATTTTGTGATTTGATCTGTACTTCTGTGATCTTTTTTTTTTCTGTATTCTTATTTGAAGTTATATTTCTTTTGATTGTGAATGAGAAAAATTTGACTTTTGAAAGCAGTAATCAGTAATTAAACGTAATTTAATTAACCTATGTGATGGTAGTTTTTTTTAATAACACCTGGGTTGCATCTTTTTATCTTAGCTAAATCCTCTTAAAAAAAATTAACTTATTTAGTGATAGCTGTGCTTGTTAAAAAATTATTATGGCCATCTGTTGTTGACACTTGAGTTGACTTTGTAATAGACAAATCAGACAATTGAACATTTTTATAAATAAGAAAAGTGTCTTATGCTTCTCTATAAAACACCAGTGCAAATAGTTTTGTTTTATAATTCAGTTGCAAAGAGTAAAAAACAAGTTTGATAATCCTTTACTAGCATATCCATGGGGGTCATCCTTTTTAATTTATTATAAAATGGTATTTTTAAGTGTTTTCTTTGAAATTGGTGTAGTATGGGATACATAGTTTCCTGTTTATGTGTCAGGCTTAACCCAGCTTGTTGTTTTTATTTCATTAGATAATTTACTATGTAAGTTTTCTGTAGTTTGAGATCCCTGAATGGGACACATTCAGTTATGGTGCTGGTGCTTGGATAGATGCTCCCTAACTAGAAATAATTGTACCAAAAATGGTAGTTATACTTGTTACAATAATTTATTTTGTGACTCATTAGTCATTGTGATGCAAGATGCTGTTCTCTGAGTGACTGTTGAGCAATTTTGGCGAGTCAGATGGAGGTGTGTGGTTTAGTCCAAATAGATTGAAAGAAATATTGCTGAATTTGGTTGAATTACAGGAGATGGAAGGTTCACTTTCCAGTAGTTTCTTTACCATATTCTGTTAAGTGTGCTTTTAACTTCTCTACCTTTATACATTTCTTCCAGTTATTTTTCTTGTGATCTGTGTACAGTCAAGGTGTCTATTTCATGGCCAAAATTCATTTTTTGGTTTATTTCCATTGGCTTTTTCACTATTACAAGCTAACCAGCCATATCTTATCTACAAATCTTGGAGTCTCAGTCATTGCAGAGAACTGGTTTATTGAAAGTTTCCATCCTGTGCATTATTATTTATATCTAATGTTGAGAAACCTATTCGATTTGTTCAGGTTTAGGAAAAAAAGTTTTTGGCTGTCATTATGCTCATTGCAAGCCTTTTTTTTTAACATTGGCTTTCTTTAGACTCAATACTACTGTAGAACAAAACTTAAACTTAGATTGTTACTACAAATTATAAAAGGTAGAGTTTAGATGGATTCCAAACAAATTATTTTTGAAATTTTATGCAATTTCAATGAATGACTTGCCAAGTATTTTATCTCTAAGTTCATATACATTAGCAGTGTTTGGTTTAAAAAAAATTAAATTTTTTTTTTTTTTTATTGGCAGCTGTCAGTATCCCATCCAATTCAGTACCAGGTCAGTCTATAGTACTTCCTGCTGGTCAAGAAATCCTTGTGCTAAGGACTCCCAAAGGAGTTTACTTGCGACTTCCTGATGGTCGACTAGTTGCAGTGAGACTCCCACCTGAGCTGGCCGAGAACTTTCGTCGTCAGGGGCAAGTCTTAAACGGACAGTTTGCTGAAATAGCAAATGCAGGTAAAAACTATATTTTTAAGTTATGTAATATTTTATTTGAATGTGGTGATGCATGATTAGAAACTTTCATTTCTCAAATAAATGAATATTGGTTAAAAAAAATATCATCGGCAAAATAAAGATTATTTATGAGAAATATGATCTTAAGTTGACTAGAAAGAGAATTGTATCAGGATTTGTACGAACGTGGAAAAGTGCTTGAAAAATAACGTCTCATGCTGATGTTTTGGAATAATACTTTCATATATAACTTTCATATGTTTTAGGTAATCTTGTATTTTCTAAAACAAAAAATTTGCAAATATAAAAATTGATAGATATTATACTGATATTTTAAACCTGTTATTGGTCAATATTTGACCATGCTGGTAATATCAGATACCAGAAAATTCACCTACTCAAATGATTTAAAATATAGAAAGAGATTATGAAGTTTTAGAAAAAAAATGTTATGTTACAAGAAATACATTGCTAAATGTCTTAACCTTTTCTGGACCAGGGTGTTGTAATTGATGACCACTGATTTTTTATTTTATTTTTTTTTTTCATGGTGGAAGTATTTAATCAAGCTGCATGAATCTCAGTAAGAACTTGTACTGTTTGGTACCAACTTAAAAAAAATCATATCATTCAATTTACATTTTTCTTTCATTTTTTGCATTGTGAAATTTCCAAAATTTTTATTGAGGGGACCCTGTTTAAAAAAAAAGAAATGAAAAAAATACTTACTTTTGTTTATTAACATTTCTTTCGATTTTTGATTTTGTGAACTGCAGTAGTCATCACTTCCAATTATGAAACAAAAAACATGATTAAAACTAACAAAGGTTTATTGGTGATCTGTGACCTGGTGTATCACTATGTAACAGTACTTTTTCTAACAGTATTCTTGGTCAGAATCAGTTTCTCTCTAATAAATATAGTTCACTTTCAGAAAGTAATTTCTATTCATCTGTATTGTTGAGTCATGACAAATCATCAATGATATTCAATATATAAGAATTTGATCATCATCTTTTTTTTTATCCTCACCATTGTCTAAACCTAACTAGGATTATATGATGTCTTGTCACAGTAGAAAATTTTCATAGTTTCAAACAAATATAACTTAAAACATTTTCAAGAACAAAAAGAATGTCTAAAGAAAATATAAAAAATTCCTTGATCTTTGATTTGTTCCCAGTAAATTCTGTTGTACTCTGCAGGAATTTACATCCAATCACTTTCCCATAAAAATTGTATGATTTCTTCTCAGCCCACTTTATTGATTCTATATTGACTTAAATAGTCTATAATCTGTTTTATACAATGGTATTTAAACTTTGCCTGTAGTTAATGTCAGAGCTGATCTTTATCAGCAGTTATTTACATCACATGCCATAAAAGAGGGAGAAGTAAGGTAATAAAGGTCTATTTCTGAATGGTCTTGGTACCTCAAGTTAATCCATATACTTAAAGGGCTGTTACATATCCTTCCCAAAAGCAATCAGTTTTCTGTGGCATCAAACAACCTATGAAATGTCCATATGTAGTTTTGATACACATTATTTCACTTTGACTTTAAATAGTCTATAACCAGAAACAAAATCTTAGAGTTGATGATGGTTTTCTGCAAATATTAACCTGCGCTTTGAGATGGACAGAAACATTCTGAAAATACGAATAAGCACATTGTTTACAGGCAAGACACCTCAGAACTGTTGCAGAAATGTAAGTCTGAACATTTTGTTTTTCTTTGCAAATTAAACAAATGCACAAAAGAGCAAAATATCAATAAAAAAAATATGAGCAAAACATATATTTATTTAAATTTGGAAAAAATGCTGATTTTTCAAACATGGTTAACTGTTTTTGTTTTTTTTTAGTTGAATTGTTTTTGTCTTTTTTTCAGCTCACCAAAATCAGTCTCAAGTCCCAACCTCAACAAACAGACAGAACCAACGTTCTTTTGGGGTATGTAGAGAGTTTTTAAAAGAAAAAATGATAAATACTAACTACTTAATTAAATTAATATTTTTTACCAGCTAATGTAACAAGTAGTTATAAGTATTTACTTGTTGTCCAGTGAGTTATGTTATTGCTAATTGCATTAAGTTTTAGCAGTTGTTTAATTAAATACAATCTTACGAATGTATTGCGTTAAGTTTAAAATATTCTAAACATTTTTCCTGGCTGAAAAGTAATAGCCTCAACATTTGAAACTTTATATTGAAAAAATGCTTTATCTTTCAATGTAAGTAGATGAAGACTATTATATTAAATTTAAGTTTAAAATATTCTAAACATTTTTCCTTGGCTGAAAAGTAATAGCCTCAACATTTGAAACTTTATATTGAAAAAATGCTTTATCTTTCAATGTAACTAGATGAAGACTATTATATTAAATTTGAGTGAGTCTTATATTTATTTTACATAGCCTATTTTATTCTTTGGTAGATTGTTTAGATAGAGTATTCAAGATGAGTACACTGGAGTGGCTGGTAATTATCTGTTGTAGAAAAATAAACACATTTCAAACATCTTCCATCTTCAGGTCAATGTGAGTAAGCTGTTGGTGTTTTATAGTATCCTGGATAGTATAAAAGACTTGCAACAAATCACACAGACCTGAAGATAGAAGATGTTCGAAATGTCATCCTCTACACTTGTAAGTTTTTTACAACCAGCCACTTCAGTGCACTTTTTTTTTTTTTTAAAGAAATATTTTTCTGACAAATTTTGAGCAGTGTATATAAAAGAAAATGATTTGGCCAAAAATTAATAATTCTGCTATGTTCATGGTCAGAGTTTGTGTACTTGAGAGAAGTACGTGTCGGAGCAGGGGTGGATTGGGGAATATAAGTGGCCTAGCAAAATCGGGTCAGGGAGAGAGGAGTGCCGATGAAACTGAGTTTGGTGTTGCATTACTGCATAATGTATAATATGTGCTAATACTGTTCATACAGTTTACAAATAAATTTGGCCCGGCATGGCCAGGTGGTTAAGGCACTCGACTCGCAATCTGAGGGTCGCCGGTTCGAATCCCCGTCACACCAAACATGGGGGCGTTATAAAGTGATGGTTAATCCCACTATTCATTGGTAAAAGAGTATCCCAAGAGTTGGAGGTTGGTGTTGATGACTACCTGTCTTCCCCCTAGTCTTACACTGCTAAATTAGGGACGGCAAAGTGCAGATAGCCCTTGTGCAGCTTTGCGCAAAATTCAAAAACAAATTAATTACGAATAAATTGAGCAAAATGTTTCGTTTACAGTCCAGTGAATAATTATCTTAGTATAAAAAGTATAGACTGAAATGACCACACAGTTAAATGAACTTTTACAAAGTAATTCACATTAATATAATTTTAGGAAAGTAATATAGTCAACCATTTATCACTTTTCTGCACTACAAATCTGTAATGGGAAATTGGGAGTGATTTAAATAGTGTTTGAAAAACAATTCGCTGGACTACCCGACCTCCTGGAATTTTCCCAGTGAAATCAATCTGCCCCTGAATTACAGGGTTTTCTTTAGCTGTTTTTACTGTGATTTACTAAACATATGTCAAGTGAGAAGATTAGCAGTTTGCTTCGAGAGCATTAATTATTTTTTTCCATATCTGTGTTGTTATATCAGATTGTTCAACCTACACTGCAGTGTGGAGGCACAGTTCAATTTTCGGCATCTTCCTTGAGAAAAACTGTCCAGACTTCACCTCCGGAAGTGATTGATCTTAGTGATGATGATGATGAAGTAGAGAATAACAGCAAAGCAACTAAGAAAGATCTTCCAACTGATTCAAGTTCAAGCAGCACAAGTAGTTCAGAAACAAGTTCAGAAGAAGATAATTTGAACAAACCATCCATATCAAGCAGTTGGACATCTCCGACTGCTGTATCTTACAGAAATGTAACAAATACAAGTTCTAAAGGATTACCTGCTGTTCCTATTGCTGGATATTTACCTTCTTTTCCAAACAAACCATTTTCAAGTTCTGTTTCTGGTGCAGTTTCTTTTCCAACTAGGTTTCCAAATAGAAACACTTTCCATCAGCTGGTTTCTGATGGACACCTTTCTGTGTCTAAAAATTCCAAAAACCAACATGATGGGCATATCAGACAGAGTGTTAATAGGCCACAGAATCCCAACTCGTTAGTTGACGGTCATGTTACCGAAACTCAAAAATCTTCCCACTTAGAGCAAAATGCTGATCAACGTCCCACACACGTAAATATGCCATATGATTCAAGTAATGCCACCTTTGGAGGTACCAATGGTATAGAGCCATCTTGGATGCTTCAGGAGAATTCTGTTCATAAAGAAAATCTTAATACTAACTCGGACAGATTTCAAACAAATGTACCAAACCAGCATTCCAGTACTCCAGATCTTACTGCCTATAGCAAACACAATAGGCTTTTGAATGATCAGACAGCATTGGGTAGTAACTTTGATGAACAGAATCAATCTATGTTTATTTCTGATAGCCTAGGTACAACATCAGGATCTTCTTTGCCAGTGTACACAAACTTAATGTCTAAAGGTCAAGGCTTTGAACATTGTACAACAGTCAGTTCAGAAAAAAGTGCCAACAATGGCCATTTGGGTAAGGATCGTTTGGATTTTACTTTTGTCAATGAAATGAGGGATTTATCCTCAGACAGAAATAATTTTCATGAACAAGAAAGAAACAACTTCAGTAATGAGCAACATCCTGATCCTTTTAAACAACATCAGGGAGACAGTACCCAAAGGTTAAGTACAAGAGCTCAAGAAGTTTCTGTTCTCAGATCCAAAGGTCAAAGAACTCAGTATTATCAGAATACCTTTCCTGATACAAGACAGGGTGGTTTTATCCCAAATTTTGTGGGTTCTCAAAGAACATACCCTCAGAGTGTTGGTAATTTCCAACAATTTCAATCCGAGTCAGAAATCACTTTACCTAGCAAAGAAATGAAAACACAGAATTCTTTTTGTGAACAAAGATTGATGAACCAAGATGTCCTTCCAACATCCGTTTTAAAACCTTATCAAGGAAGTGCACCTAAAGGAGACCAATCAGTATGTTCTGTTGCACAAGAATCACCTATTAGCATGCAGAACAACTGTCAGCCGGTATTCACTCAAAGTTCACGGCCAAGTAAGGTAAATATGTCACTTGAAAGGAACCAAATGTTAAAGCATAAACTTCATGAACGGAGCTACTTCTCCCCAAACCTTGGTGCAAGATCCTTGTCCTCCCATAATACTATATCCAGACTGCCTTCCTTTAGCAATGAAAGTTATACAGCAAAAGTTAGCAATCAAGGCCATGCGGTTCAACCAACACAGAGCTTTTTTGTGCCAGACTCGCATGCTAACTCCAGCAGTACGAGCACCAGCTGTGTATCTCTCCCTGTAGACACTGCTGCGCAAGACAGTTTTTCAGCATCTACTTCAACTCTTTTGTCACAGCAGATAGATAATGACTTTACACAGTTGGATTCTGTCACAGATTGGGAAGAAACACAAAATTTGAGTGCCGTGGAAGAGGTTTCACGTAAAGGCTCCAATCCCAGTCACTATTCTACATGAAATTAGAAGTGTGTGGCTGTAATCTCAAAAACTTTTAATTAATGATGTATATTCAGGGTAAATATAACTTAAGCAAGGAATTCAGTGTAGACTTGCATAATTTTCATTGTATGTTTTGTCCCTATGAGTAACAAAAACGGTAAGAGTCGGCACTATTCAATCTAATATTCTTTTTCTTTGCATGAAAAAAATATATATATATTGTACAGGGTTTGCATATAAAATAGGAATTGAGTGTGTATCATACATTTATTTAGTGCTAGCTGTTCATTAAAGAACAGAACGTGACATACTGAAGTAGTCAAGTTAATTATATCCAGTTTTTAAAATATTAGCGTACATACACACACACACACACACACCAAAAACGAGATTAAATAAAATATATCTGTTAAACTGTGTAGAGAATAACACTAGACCAGGTATTTAGAATGTTCTCAAAGTGTTATAAATCTTTATTAAAACGGTTCTTTTTCATAGTTACTAAATACAAGAAGTACAATTAATATACTTTGTATTTGACCATTTATTGTAGTGATTTTAATACATGTCCCTGTTTCGATAAAATGTTGAATCATGTTTTCAGTAACTGAAGTAGATATTGGCATAGTTCAGTAGTATGAATAATTTTTAATTTGCTCATGATGTTGGAAGAAAAATGTTCTTCTGAAAGCATGCCTTTATTTAATTTACTCGTGTTTGTGTGTGTCTGTGTGAAATGCTTAAAGATCATCGTGTCTTTATTATGGTATTTAAAATTTAGAAAGTGATTAATTTAGTAATTTTTTTCAAATATTTAGTGGTACTTATTCATTACCGATTACGTTAAATAGCTGTCATTCAACTCGTTAAACATATTATTTTTGAGTTTCTATTAAATTTATACGATGATAATTTAAAATCAAAAATACACTCGTCTGTCTGTATTTGTGTTATTCTACCATTGTGTAATTCTGTGTAAGCACACTGTAGAAACAGATATTTTAAATACTCTGTAGGTTGCATTGTACAGGGGTTCATCGACTAGAATTTGTATTTATATATATATAAAAAAAATTTGAGTTACCTAAAAATGTAGGCCTAATTGCATCTATGTATAAGTGTATGAATGAAAATCTTTTATCATTTATTAATTTATAAGTATATAATAATTAATTCAAAATTAAACTAGTTTTCTTAAAGAAGTCCTCATGAAGGGTTAGGCTGTAAAGTTGTTTGTTTGGGACCCCTCACCCTTGCCAGTTCAATGAGGCATTGGTCTCTTATTCTCAATGCTGGTGTGAAATGTTTTGATGGTCAGTATTTGCTGAGGTTAGATTATTTAACATCCTTAACTGTTTACACTATGCAAGTTTGTTCATTGAAAAGTAACATATAAATTATCATGCTAATGTCATATTTTGTTTCGTTTTATCTTCTTTTACAGCACAATCTCGTTATTACTGCCAATTTTTTTGTAATTATTAAGTTATGTTTAATATACGAACTTTCAAAATGCACGTACCTAGTTTTATTGAAAATGTAATGTGAGTGTAACCTTTAGAGGTAACTCTTAGCTGATGATGGCACTTGGATAAGTGAAAAAAGGCTTAAAGTAAAAATATATAATATGTGCTTTTTGATCTTATAACAAAAGAAAATGTACTTGAAGGTTAGAAATGCTTGTGGAAAATAAATTAGTCACATTGTTTTACTGATTTATATAGTAGTAGTGTTTTTCATGTTTCTGTATTTATTTTATAAGGTAGGCAAGGTAGCTGCTAACTAGAACACAAAATATTAATGTCGTTAGAGCTTTTAGTACACTAGATATTGACATCAATGTTTATAGAGATGGTTATATCATTGTTGATATAGCATTTATAAATAAAAATTCTCCATCACTTAGAAAATAAAAGTGTCTTGCTTGAATTTAACCATTAGATTTTTTTACTCTGGTGTAAACACTTTGATTATGCTTATTGAAACAAAAGAATAAAACATTCTGCTACTTTTCTTGAAGTTACTGAGGCTTATTTCTAAAACTACTGGTTTATAAATTAATGGACAAGGAAAAAGATGACAGTGGATTGTAAGTACACTATAGAAATTAGTGCTTGCTCACTTTAGACATTTTTTTTTAATTAATTGAATTACTTTTTATATTTGGGAAAGTATTATTAAAATTCAAGGTCAAAAGCAAACTTTCTTGTTTATGGTAAACTTTTCCAAAAATATGTAAAAAAACAAACAGATTTTGTGTATATGTCAGTATTTTGCTATTGTATAAAATCCAGCTTTAGCATTATTCACAAATTTCATAGGTATATGACTTGTGTTTATAACATTTTTATTAAATAATTTAAAACACAGTTTTAATGTGAAAATAATCTGGTTACAAATAAATCACTCTAATAATTTTTAAGTGTTTGTTATATAATGAAACAGTTTAATACCATTAGTTTCATTTGGGGAGAGATTTTTCTCTCGCCCCACTGCTCCTTTTTGAGATTGCATGCATTTATATTGGATAACATAAAATTTTGCCTTTGAAAACTCGGCAAATCCTTCTCTGGTCCAGAATGATCAATGATCTAGATCATTTTTTGTAGTGCGATGGGGAGTTTCACCCTTAATTGTCCATGAAATTTGGGTACAAATCCGATCATACTTTACAGAGTTATTGAACCGAAAACTGTGAAAATGCTCTTTTTATTATAAAAAATGTTTCAAAATGATCCAGTTTTGGATCTGGGCCAAATTTGTGGAGGACTGTCCCATAATGACTTCCCATCGTGTGTAAAATTTTCGTGTACATCAGTTTATTAGTTTTCGAGATACGTGCACGGAAACATGTACACCTGTGGACCTGATTGTGATACCCTTGCAGGGTTATGGTAATTAATGCTGAAATGGTCCATCTTTTCAAGCTAATAAAGCTGCTTGATTTGCAAGTGATATGCTATTTTCAGGTCCCGGTTGTTAAGGGTTAACAGGGTATTTAAGTTTCTGAACACTAATGGGTAAAAAATATAGGACATTGAATGGTAAATCTCTCAACAAGGTAAGTCCTAAAAGATGTAATGAAAATTAATTATCTTTGACAATAGTCAAGTTTAATCTTCATCAGTTTGGCAATTTTTTCACGTGTATTGCACTTAGGTTGTAACAATGTTATAATATTAGTCACTTCAGTAAATATAAGTTGAATTAGATTAGGAATCAGTACATTGCTTTCAACTGTGTACATTTATGAATAAGATAGTAGTTGAATTCTATCTCAGCATCATCCATACCCAGGTGAAACCACTTGTATGCCTAATTTATTAACTCCTTAAACCCATAATTTTTTGCATATTCTGCCAGAATTATTTTCATGATGTCCTAATAATTATCATACCTTACAAAATTTCCAGTCTATTTATAAAAAGTGGATAATAACATGATTTGGATTAGTTTTCAGCCAGACAGACGTAAATGTTATCAGATGCCATCAGGATTTTTGCCCGGATGCTTGGGTTTAGAGAGTTAATAAATGTTGTCGAAAAAAAAAAGAACAACCAGTGAAAAAACTTAAGCTTTTCTAAGTTTGAAAACAAGCCATTTTAACAATTGAGTACATACTTTTCCAAATTTTTGCTTTCATTACTTTATGATAGTTTTTGTTACTCTCTAGAACCTAAGCAGTAGTAAACAACCAATGATAGTTTTTGTTACTCTCTAGAACCTAAGCGGTAGTAAACAACCAATGATAGTTTTTGTTACTCTCTAGAACCTAAGCAGTAGTAAACAACCGATGATAGTTTTGATTTTATGCAACAATTTTTTTTTTGTAGAAATACACACACACACACATTTCTTGATTAGTAAATGCAATGGCTACTTCTAATAGTCACTTATATATCAAAACAATCATTGTGTTTTGATGTAGCAACAGAGGTAAAAAAACAACAAAAGACACATTAAATGTAATTACAAGACAGTCTCACTTCAACAATGAAGCTACATTTATCTTGCAATAATAATAAAAAAAATCCTCATTTATTTACAATACCTATGATGGAATATTTACATGTCTACGTCACATCCATCGTCCAACCATCTTACAACTATAAAAGTCAAGAGAAATCAGAAGTGTAGTTACAAGTCAGATTATTACCATCATAACCACAGTAAATCCATTTTGTAAGTGAAATTTTCAGTGTTGTTAATATTTATGAATAGTAAACAACCGATGATAGTTTTTGTTACTCTCTAGAACCTAAGCGGTAGTAAACAACCGATGATAGTTTTTGTTACTCTCTAGAACCTAAGCGGTAGTAAACAACCGTTTTGCAAATACTTGGTGTAAAGAAACAGAAACGTTTGAAAAATCTATAGAAATGGCTACAATAAAAAGGTTAATCATGAAAGAAACCTGGGAATTGGAGGGAAGAGTATATTCCATTGATGTTCAGTTCAGAAAAAAATTATTATAGCTGCACTAACAACCACCCATCTATTTCATCTTGTTTATGCTTTAATAAGTTTATATATTATCTAATGCTGGTAAGGTATAATACACACACACACACATGCATATTCAAATTAATACTTAATATTTCTCATTTACAAACAAAAAGTATTTGAAATGTGACATTTTTTTAAAAAATTGCACTAAACATAGGCAGTGGAGCTCAAGTCACAGGGAATATTAAATACTGTTTTAACCAAGTTGAGCTTAACAATGTGAATCTAGCTGCTTAAGTTCTAAATACTGCCTTGGGTAGGAGATGTGATAATAAACTACAGAAAGTGTTGTATACTTACTTACAACCATTTACTTTATTCTGAGGTATGGAATAAAATTACATTCATTCTTTGTCAACGTTAGGGTTAACTTATGAGCAGTTACTCTCTAGAACCTAAGCAATAGTAAACAACTGATGATAGTTTTTGTTACTCTCTAGAGCCTAAGCGGTAGTAAACAACCGATGATAGTTTTTGTAACTCTCTATAACCTAAGCGGTAGTAAACAACCGATGATAGTTTTTGTTACTCTCTAGAACCTAAGCAGTAGTAAACAACCGATGATAGTTTTTGTTACTCTCTAGAACCTAAGCGGAAAAGGTGAGACACACCCAATAATAAAAATTGAGCAGTAAGAGCTGTATATAGAATTTCGAGCACAAGCTATCTTTGTGAAGTTGTTTTTCCTTTCCTTTTTGTATATATTGTTGGAGACAAACTCCCACTTCATGTTTATTTAATTTTTTTTAGCAGTTAGCTTGAAACTTGATAACTGAATTAGTTAAGGAATACAATATTTTATTATGTTTAAAATAAACATGTCTTGAGAAATGTATATTTATTAAAGTACTGTCTTTTTAACGTCTTATGTTATTTCACTTTAATTGTGGGAAGTGTTTGAAAAATGTACAATATTATACTTGAAGCATCAAAGGTATTTTGTGAACAATGTAGACACTCATTATGCAGCAATGAAGATGTTTACATTAGTTTTTAATCATTAAGGTTGATTTGAACTCCTGTATCAGAATTTGCTGTGCATTGTATAAAACTTTAAAGACTCATTGTACCTGTAATTAAACATTACTTTTCTGATGAAAATGTGTGTCTTCTAAACTGTTATAGTTAGCTATAAATAAGGAAATATATGTTCCAAAGTACATACTCTGGTAGTTGGAGTCATATGAGTTAAAAATGATTAAAACTTGGTTTAAAGGGGGTGACTTTTAATATCCAGAACTGTAAAATGTGTTGCTTGGTTCTAAAAGTCATTCTGACTTTTGATCCAGTTGAAAAAGGAAAATTTTGAAAAATAAAAGTTACATAAGGGTTCAAAATTATGGGAATTTAGAACATTGTTTTCTGTTGTCATTACGGTGGGTGGTAATGATTAGCTGCCTTCCCACTACCAACATAAGGAATGGCTAGCTCAGATAACCCTCGTGTAGCTTAGCACAAAATTCAAACCAAACCAAAAAAAAACTGTTTTCATTATCAAGGAGAATCTGGAATGTTAGCCCATTACTGTGTTGGACTTATCAATTTTGAAGAAATCTAACTGAATGTGTTATATAACCTACAACATTTAGAGTTGACTGACATTTAAAAATGACAGCATGTTTTGAGAAATTGGCCATAGTTTAAAAAGCTGTTGTAAAACGTACGTCCAAGAATTGTGAAAATAGTCGAAAGCATAAAATAGAAGAGCAGGGTAAAAGAATATAAATTTTCTGAACATTAGAAGAGTCTAACAAAAAGAAAAATAAGAAATGTAGTACAGAAAAGAAGCACCAGGAAACCAGTATTGCAACAGTTTGCAAAGGATGTGAATTTGTGTATTCTAAAATAAGAATTTAAGGTAGTTCTGTTCAGAAGAAAAAAGCACGTGTGACCTTGTATTTATTTACACATGACCAGTCTACTAGTGTATTTTAGTGTGAAGACATGCTTATCCAAAGCGTTAGTCAGAATAGAATAATGGACTAATTAATTCATGCCCTTCATATGCAAAGTAATGCTAAAATTAATTTAGGCTTTATGCTCTGTTATTCTTTTTATTATGAATTACGTAGTACTGCAAGAAATTAAATGAACTACAATTATACTGTGCAATGCCAAGATAGGTTTTTGCACTCACCATAGACCTCCAACTACAGCATTTTGTTAGCTTACTTTTAATGTAACTACAGGCCATTGTGATCATTTAACATAGGCGACGATGGTATGACCCAATATTAATGTGCCATTTACAGATCTGCGGTCCCCCGTCAGCTTACTGAATACCTTAGAAACATTAATGGAGAAACTAGTAATTAACCGCATGAACTCATTCCTCGAGACCAGTAACATTTTAAACAACATTCAAAACTCGGCCAGGAAGCATAGACGAGTTTCTGACGACCCCGTTAGACTTCTTGAAACAATTTACCGAGGTTTTCACAGAAAGCACACTACTATAGTTAATTTATGTGTTCAGAAAGCCTTCAGTTCCGTTTCACATAATAAAC